TGCTGCTAGCTTATTGGTAGCGGGAGAAAGGCAGCAGTGATGCAACAACTCTTCAAAGTTGCAAAGTATATTTGAAGACGGATCTCAAAAACTCCAGTTCCTACAAGAAAATAGGAAGTGATTACAGAAAAAAAAGTCCAGCAAAGGAGGTACTCCCCAAGCAAAATACGAAAATAATTGCACTCGAATCTGTTCGCCTCAGCTGATGTTCTAGCACCTGCAATCAGCGCCACTAAACAGGAAACTCCTCTTGCACATTATCAGCAAGTTATACTGCTTTCTGAATGGGAAGTGAAGTACTGCCAACAATAATAGCTTCAACATTCAGCTTATCAAAGTTGTAGAATATAAAATATTTGAAGATCCTTGCGGTCCTTTTGACATCTATTTAATTGAAAGGAAATTCTCCAGCAAATGACGGCTGAAACCGTGTAACTATACAAAAAAGAAAAAAAGATGATAAGATCAGAAAAACATCGCCCCATCTGCTTGTACGCTCTGAAATACGTAACTGCGACATTCTTAAAAATTGTTCCAGTAATACGTATGACGATTTACTTTATTAATTCCAAAACCCATAAAGCTTAATTAAACAGTTAGTGGACGAATTTTTCATGCGCATAGTCTTACATAATCTTTTTTCTAGAACCCTGGATAAAACAGCGGTATATTCTATTCCGTAGAATTTCATTGTCAAAGGTTGCATTACATTTTTCTCTACTGGACGGCGGAAGTGTTCGAAAGTAATTTAAATGACAGCCTTTTTAAGAATTAGCAGTTGGCCTGCGAAGTTGACGATGTTTCTCTTCCAAGCGATGTTCAAGAATCTAGCAAAAGTTTGACTCTCAAATTTGCTATTCTTGCCAGTACCAATTTACAAATCGAAACAAATTAACAACACGCAGACGAGCTTAGCTTTGTCCGAATACCACTTTACCTGTGCATTGCTATTCCAGATGAGTACCCCGTGCGCGTTGCCGTCATTTTCTAGAGCCAAATAGAACGGATGTACGCCATACAGATTTTGCAGTGGTCTGCTTGAGTCAGGAGCTTGATCACGTGCGAACATACCCCACGTCATATATTTCGTCAAATTATGCTGCAAAAAGCCAATTTGTTGAAGCGCTAACCAATATTGTTCGCATGTTTGGCAGGAGAGTAGCTAGGATCACACAGAATATTAAAACCTCTAGAAAATTCAGCCTTGATTCGGTTAACCAAGCCGGTCAGAATCATGGAGATAATTATCAGCTTCAATATTATTGGGATGCAACCACACGCTGGTCGAAGCTACGCTATACTCACTCACCATCTAACGAGGCGTGGAGAATGCGTTTAGAAGTAAGCAAAGCACAGACCATGAGCGTGTTGTGGGCGTGCTCGCCAAAACCATAATTTTCTTGGTAGGCAAATACGTAGCAATTTGAATATATTTTGGAGCAAATAATAGGCCACCTGAAATGTGCAAGAATTTTACAACTCTGTTTTAGGAGATAAGTCGTTAAGATTAAATTTCCATGATTCGGGCGACACCAGTCAATTACCGTATCTGGAGGTCCCAAGAACAGAGTGAATACAGAGAGAAGTGAAATTTCATGC